TATGATTTTCAGACAAAATTTATTAAGTTCAAACAAGTCGAATTTAAAATATGAAAAATCATTTTCTTTCTGTAACTGCACGAAAGTCGAGTGATTCATAGAGAAATTATAACAATGAACTTGCCTTCTTTTAAGAAAAAATTTCACTCGTCAAATAATGTATGAATACATACTACAAGAAAAGAATTACGAAAAGAGAACAAGTGCCTGAAATATTCAAATTAAGTAACAGAAACGTATTTGAAATTTAATTTTCTTTCATTTGTCCTTTTTCTTGCTTACTAGCAACCATCTATTTTTGTGTTGTTACTTTCTTAAAAATCTAGGATGTTGTTAAGTCAAACATGAAGAAACTGATGAAAAAAACCGTTAAAATGTCTTTGCTTACTCTCTCAAAGTTAATGGTCGTTTTTTCACTTCTGAATAATATTGACGTTGTAGTCGTTGAAATTCGCCTATTTTCGTTTGGTACATTATACTGACAATAAAAATGAATACTATCGTCGAAGACTATGATGCACCTATTAAAGTAAACGACAATGAAATTACATCACAGACGGATATTACAAATGATAAAATACAAAAACTAAAAGCTCTATATGGTTTTCATTTAAATAATGATCTCTTTTGTCATGATGTATCACGAAACCATGAAGAGTTTCGAAGAAAGATAACAGAAGATGCAACCATATTTGGTGTTGTGGCTGCTTTATTTACAACAATTGCTTTTACTGCTTTCAATAATTCAACAAACGACTGGTATTCGGGTAACAGTTCCGATGCAGTAAATGTACACAAATATTTGTATGTAGGATTCTTTGCGGTTAGTGGTTCGTGTGGTTTTGTATGTATATTTGTGACATCGACTAGATGCGCTTTATTGATACAAACACCAGATAGCCAATTAGAAAGCTTTGCACGCGCATTCAATACTTTTTACTACAAGCCGTATGTGTATGCTTGGGCTTGTGCATTCTGTTTGTATGTGGGTTGTGGGTTTCAAATCTATTTATTTTATGGACTATATCCATGCATACTAGCCGTATGCATTGGTTTGCTAACTATTGTATATTTATTCATTTTTGTACAATTTTTCATGGGTAAACATAAAACGCATGTGAGACTGAAATACTTTCGCGAAAACCCAGTTGCTTTTGAAAAGCTAAATAGGAATGAAGAAAAACTTCGCGATTCGAAACAATCTCTCAACAATACAAAAGTGGTAAATAAGGTCTCACCATCCAAACCATTTTATTGATTTAAAATTCCAAAATTCAGATGTAATGTTGAGATTACCTAGAAAGTATCTGTATAACGAGCCTCAGTATCACTGATCACTTCTTTAGTCAATACTTATCAATACACTCAACTGCTTCATGTGATCTCATTTGCACACTTTTGCATTAACATTTGTTTTTCATGTTCTTTCTGTCATCGACTAAGCTATTTTCATCTGAAACATTTTTTGTTACTATGTCAAATACAAGCGACACGAAGCGGTCAGGCTTCACTTCTTAATCGTTTTTCTGTGTTTGTAATAACGGTTCATTTTTGTGAAATATCTCTGCTTTTATGGTGTGCTTGATTACTTGTCTTATCTTTTACACACGCACTTTGTCCAAACAGTTCCACAAGTCTTTTTGTGAAATAAAGCAGAGTAAAACTGACGATGAGACGGTTTTATGTTCAACTAGCATGGGGTATTATTTGAAATATAACATTTTCTTTCCTTTCCCTGCTGATCCAAACGACTCTTTAATATGAAGAGCAACGCTGACATTCATCCAGTTTAAGGTTACGTGGAAGCACAAAGTTTTTAACATAAAGTTAACTTGAGTTGACCAGGGCAGGGGAACTATGTGCTCTTTTCAATAATTCACGCTTCATATCCAACAAACAAAGGATCGGAGCGGAGGCACTATTCATAGATATTTTCTGTGAATATTGAAAAAGAATACGCTAATTAATGGGTGTAAGACAACTATGTATGAAAGTGTCGCTGAATATATAGAAAAGTGTACAGAATAATGCAATGGTTTTTACTCGATGGAGCTGAGGAGGAATGATAAACATAAAAAATAATCTGAGTGAAGAATACATTTTGAATATCTAACCTTGAAAAAACAGTTTTTCAGAAACTCTAAAAAGTAATCAAAACCTTTCTTACCGAGGGATTATTGTAGGCCGCAAATTTCTAATTAAAATGAGAGATCTACAACTCTCTGAGCCTTGGTACAAGCAGTTATGTAAAACAACAACCTTATAGCGGTTGAAGAAAAAGCATTTTAACTGCTCGTATGCACCAGCTCAGTGATGTGGAAGAGAGACAGGATGATGGAATCGTTTCGTTTGCTTGTGAAATAATTAAGTTTGTTACAATAGAACCATATTACTTTTGCACAATGAAAACATGCTCAAATAATTACACAATTTCTGGAAAAGTGTGGCGAGATGAAAAATAAAATCTAATTAACTTGTATTTTTAATGCTTAATAGTCACGCTCTCCATAGATCAGTGTTTTAGTAAACACTCTTATAAACTTAAACATATTGATTGTGACCAGTATGATCCTGGTCAAACTGAAAACGACTATTATCGGCTAGTGTATAAACGAATGTATCAAAATGTAACAGTAGAAGCATCACAGTTAAAAAATGATTTAACTTTGGATATAACTGAACTCAGCCAGCTGATGTATCCGATAGCTTCGACGCAGCTTGGTGTCCTTGTCCATGCAAAGTACGAAGAATGATAACGAAGAAAATAATTGTATTAATTAGACTTCAGGACGTGTTCATAGCTCACAAGGGGACCTCGCGAACTATCACATCGATTTTGCAGAGAGACCTAGTGGGTTATAGGTTATCAACTATGCTGGATCCTTAAATCATAGTGGCAGCTTCGTAGTGGTTTTCTACAAAACCATCTTTTCAGAAACTCTGAAGAGTAACCTAAACTTTTCTTACTAAAACATCATTGTAGCCCAGATATTTCTGATTAAAATGAGACATCTCCCTGCTCTACACGACCTTTCTTTACAAAGTTATAGAATTTACAAGAAAAGCCCTGAATTAATTTCTTCTTATTTCTGTTTCTTGAGCTGACAACGAATATTTAGAGCTTTTCTTGAAAATTCTATAACTTTGTAAAGAAAGGTCGTGTAGAGCTGGGTGACGTCTCATTTTAATCAAAAATTTGCAGGTCACAATCATGCCTCATTAAGAAAAGGTTTTGATTACTTTTTAGAGTTTCTGAAAAACTGGTTTTCCAGAAAAACGCTCTCTGAAGGCCTCTGGGAAGCTGCCTTTGTTTTTTATGGATCCAGCATAGTTGATAACCTATAACCCACTAGGTCTCTCTGCAAAATCGATGTGATAGTTCGCGAGGTCCCCTTCCTGAAGTCTAATTAATACAATTATTTTCTTCGTTATCATTCTTCGTACTTTGCATGGACAAGGACACCAGGCTGAGAGGGAGCTGTCAAATACATCAGCTGGCTAGTTCGATTATATCCTAAGTTAACCATTTTTTAACTGTGATGCTTCTACTGTTACATTTTGATACATTCGTTTATATACCAACCGATAATAGTCGTTTTCAGTTCGAATAAAGTTTGGTTATTAGGAATATGTCGTTTACACTTTGTGTCTGCTTCGACACTCAAATTCACAGTTCGACTTATGTCACACGTTTAATCTTAGTTCCTTTTAAAGCTAACTCGTTCGTTTGTGACGCTCTCACTTATCTGCTCATTCTGACAGAGTTTCGTCGTCAGATCTATTCTGAAATAGAGAAAGTACTATACACAACAGAAATCGAAGTTGGTGTCTATGAGAGTTTTTGAAAGACAAAATAGAAATTCTTTTTTGCGAGAATTTATTAATTACCATAGTTAGTATATATTTTAACATATGCAGTGTCAAACTTTTGCCGATGGGAGATGAATGGTACTTCCTGAATCATGCGATAGTCATATCGTTCGGTGAATGCATCTAGTGAGGAGTTTTCAAATCTGAAATCGATTAAATGCAACATTGGAAACTCATTAAATAGTTGTTAATGATCATTTTGTTTTCCAGTAGCTATAGAAAAGCGGAAAGTTTTTGGAATATCATATTTTCTTAAATTTTTTTTTCAATGACTTCTTAAGATGTAAAATTTAAGTTTCACAGACTTGTCAGATACATCACCTGCAGGTTCTTCCTGCAACTTAATTTTTTTTACGTTTCTTCCCTCAGATCTTCTCTACATAGTGATAAAAACTACAAGTGTGTACCCTCAGAATAGAAGGCCACCCCCTGTATATGACCATGGCTGGGAAAAGTTCAAACGCCCTAACAGAAGGCCATACAAGTATTAATTAATATTTTCTAAAAATTAAATATTTTTAATAAGTATTAATTAATAATTATTCAAATATACCTGGTGTTTTAGGGGTTTTCGCGAAAACTATCTGTGTTCCATAAATAACGTATTTTTTCACAAAAGAGCGCACTTATTCATTGAGCAATGCCATTAAAAAATTAGTTAATTATTGAACTTTTAAAAATATTATTATTCATAGTTGACCAAAAACTGACTCTCAATAGAAGGTTGCCCAAAAAGTAGCGATGTGCCGAGACACTGTCTTCGGGCATGGCCATTTACTCCGGAGCGGCGGGGGAGGGGGTTATCTCAACGTTACTAACAATTATTCAGAAAACAATGGAATGTATTGTATTTCGAAACAGATAGTACTATGTTTTCCAGAAAAACGATAAAACCGGTCTCCTGATAAACGGAAACAACCGTTTTATGGAATTACTGGAAATTTCGTTTTCACTTAGGAGTAGAAGGAGGCGTCTATTAATAGCTCATTAAATGTAAAAAGAGCAAATGAATTTTATACAACTTCTTATCGTATCTTATCTTATCTTATATTATGGGTATTGTTGTACAAATGAATCCATAAGGAGAAAACAAAGAATAGAAAGATAGAAGGATAGAAACATGCTCTATTTCATACTAGGTTCAGCAGATTGTTCGTTTTAAATAGATCTTCCGTCGTTTTGTCAATTGTGTCGCATGCTTGTACCAAATCTGCAAGTATCATCACAAGTTCATCCATTTTTCGGTCTTGCAACAGTTTTTCAATGAACATCTCACGACTGGGTGCCGTCAGCTTAATTGCCGCATGGACCGTTTTCTGGATGATCCAAGGATGATGCGTTCCAAGCGTTTCTTGGTATGCATTCCATGCTATTGTATCCATATCCGCATCAATGGGTGCTCGTCGAGTTTCATCTAGAAGCAATTTGATAAAGTTGAGAGCCCTATGTAAACGCAGTACGGTTCGACACCCATTTGGCAATGGCTTTCCTGGTTCTAAATGTTTTTGTTTTGTTTTGTACCTGCCCGTTCTCATTTCAAATTCGACCATTTTCTGAATTGTTGCATAATTTACTGAGTCCAAACTCAAATGTTCATCGATTATGGCGAGCTTATTATGAATATCTTTAGTGGCGAAGTCGAACACAGCACCAAGAGATGAGATGAACCTAAACAGACAAAAAAAGCTATGTCGCGTGGAGAGATGAATGAACGGAACATACTCACACACATAGTTCTTTGTAAGCTTTTTTATATTCGTTTAGCAGTAGGGAACCATCTGGTTGGATACAAGCAACGAAATAGTCTCGCACTCGGCTAACATCGAATTGTCGACAAGGAAACGAAGAACCATTTATAGGAGATGCAGACATGTTATCGAATGTGATAAACTGACTTTCAGAGAGTGATGGCGATGCAGCTCAAATGAATCTAGAAGAAACACAGATCATATATCAAGTACTGCCTGAAACCTATAGAGTCTTTCATCGCCAACACTAGATACATTGCGTATCCCTTCAACCAGCATCAGCACAATGCTAGAAATAGACACGTATCGCGCGGTATCTTTTTTGTATAAACCATATATTTCGAGAAGACGTTGTGCCAACAGCTTCGGAACCTGCAGAAGTGTAGAGCAAACATTTCTCTACAACATGATACGTAACCGAACTTTCTACGATTTATCGTTGTCGTTTTATGGCTACTTATGAAGAGAACCATGCTCCGTCTAGGGCTTTCTGACCTTCACCCTCATAGAACCCAAAAATGATGGAACTTTTACTTTTTTACAACGGGGTTCAGAGTTTATGATGTTAAAAAGCTTCCCTTTCCATAGGTCCAGGTATACTTTCACTACGGTTCGAAGAAAAATAACAACGAACTCGCTCTTTTTTACTCAGCAAAACAATGAGTAAGAATCATCATATAGGTTTTTCCGATTTGATAAGACAATTAAAGAAACCGTTGTACGAGAAAAAAATAAATTCGAAAATCTTCTGCGAAAAACTAATGCCAAGTTTGTGGTTCGTCAATAAAACAAAGTGGTTATGGTTCGTAAGATTGAACAAAGATGGATAGTTGTCTTTAAGGTCGGCAACTAGGTATACGACGGACAGAACAACCGACTCGGGCAAGTTCAAATCGGACACTGTTTGACTCAAACAGTGTCCGAATCAAATACTGTTTGACTCGCACATTAACCGATTCGGACATGTTCGAACAGAACATTCAAACACTGTTCGACTGTTTTCATTTCTGTTAGGTGTCTGCTTAGTGCATCAATTTCTTCGTGGAGATTTTGAGTGAGAGATGCTGAGAAACAGTAAAGTTTAGAACAGGGATGAGATTAGAACCGAAAGGGATTTTCGAGTGGAACTGTTGATTGGCTGAAGGGGATTGTTATTTTTTCTTTCTATTTTACTCATTTCTTATATTAAACAAGATTATTTTCTTTGACACATTCAAGTTTGCTTCTAATTACACAAGTAGTAAATTAGACTCTGTAAAACTGTATAGTGGCAGTGAGCACAAAATGCTTAGCACGTCAATTCACCTACAATTTTAGACGACTAAAAAAAAGCTGTAAATTAATGAGAGAAAATAGCATTTGAAAAAAGTCGATCAGTGTCTGAATGTTCGGTTCGAACAGGTCCAAGTGTCAGAGTAAAACGCTGTTTAAGTCAAACCGTGTCCGAACCAAACACTGTCCGAATGGAACATGCTTGAGTCAGACATTGGACATTTGTCCGGTCCGTCGTATATCTATCGGCAACAGTCAAATTACTGTTATAATTGGCTTATTGTGAATAATTCCTACAGTAGAGATAAGAGAAGCAAGTATATAGGGGTTCTTCCTCGGGTCCTCGTAAAAAAATACCTCTTCATAGGTTTAGTCTTGAGATAGATTTGTGGCTAGTCTTCGACCGTGGTAACGTCGGATAACAGTGGACGCATTAAAACGTTCAGCATACTTTCCTGTTTAATTCAAGGTATTGCACAGTTCAGAGCATGTTTGCATTCAACTCAGCAAAATCATAAAAGAAACAAAATGCAAAAATAACCGTACAGAGTCACACTGTGGTAGTAAAGTCGCATGGTCAAGTCAGATTGGTCATCTTCAAATTTTCTCGTATACAAATCGTTTAAAAAAAATAAAAGTTAACATTTTTCTAAGCAACTCAATGCGTTCTACTTAACCATGTATAAAAAAAATTAAATTAAATTTTGCTCGATGTTTGACTTGTTGGCTCGGCTCCTGCATGATTGAGCCCACTTTTTATGCTGATTAATTAGATTTAAAATGTGGTCTGAATTTGGAATAGAGAGTTTGTTCTTTGTACACTGTTTATATTTTCAAATCCCTCTTTAATTAGAAATGATTGGCTACTGTAGACACAGAAACTGTTTGAAATACAATATATATAATAACCATATTTTAGGTTTATACTTACCACCATCTTTAAAATTAAACTCATTATCTTATATAACGGTAACTTAATAATCGTTTGCTTTTGAAACAATTCTTCTTTGCTGATCATTATTTAAAACTCTTCTCTTTCTTGTTATTAAACACGAACAGGAATTACGGCTACATTTCCATTTTTGACTTCCGTTTTTATTTGAGCGTTTTAAACGACATAAGTAACTTACTTACACTTAGGAAAATACAGAGTTGTAGACATGATTGGATTCGTAGAGGAAATCGAACTGAGATATTGCGTTTCAAGGTAATGCTACTCTTCATTTTTATAGTGCCACTCGATCCAATAATGTCGTTCTCAGCTCAATTTGGTTTTAAGCATCAGTTTCAAAAATATTTTAACCAGTTTCTGCGTCTACAGTGGCCAATCATTCCTAATTAAAGACTGATTTAAAATTACAAAGTGTACAAAGTATGTGAAAAGAACAAACTCTCTCGTCCAAATTGAAACCATATTTTATTAGCTTCCATAAGAAACGAGAGAATGTGTGCATTCAAAATTGAGACCATTTTTTAAATCTAATTAAAAGCATAAAAAAAGTGATCTCAACCATGAATCCTTGGTTGTCTTCTTATCTCCATATGTCACCGGTTCAGGTAAATAATTCAGTGTTTGGTATTGTTTGCTCGCTGCGTTACAACTGTCTTATATACGTCACTCTGATGACTAAAAAATGTTCAGTTGTAGGTGACTTTTTTTAAACTTTTCAAATATTTTTTTTAGTAAAGTGCCAACAAAAACAGAACGAATTTTCTTGACTTTTGTTTCAAGCATAACTCAATAGAGTAGACATTGAGTTACATACAAAAATGTCAGTTTTAATCAAATTTTATGAAATGAAAAATTTTGAATCAAAATTGGATTATATTCACTGAATTATTTAAACATGAGCTCAATTTTCACATATGACGTTCATTTTTCATCTTCGAACTAGGCATGCAACGGTTACGGTTATTAACCGTTTAACCGTAACCGTAAATAACCGTAACCGTAATAACCGGTCGAACGGTTAACCGTAACCGTTAATAACCGGTCGAACGGTTAACCGTAACCGTTAATAACCGCTTCATAACAGCTTCGTGTACTGATTGTAGAAAAATAAAGAATAATTTATTTGGAAAGAAAGAATAGTATATACAATCTTGTTTGGATCTTCTTTGAGCGAAAGTTGATTAAGATTATTTTGTATCCTGCTACTAATGACACTGATTTCCGCGTGTACGTTAGTGACCATTTTTCTGCATTTTAAGTGCATTAGTATTAGGCATGCAACGGTTACGGTTAACCGTTCGACCGGTTATTTACGGTTACGGTTATGATCGGTTACGGTTAACCGTAACTGGTGCATGCCTACTTCGAACCGGTTTATTCTGATTTCCTATCAAAAATCGACCGTAAACCTATCTATTAATAGCTTTTCTAGTTGCAGCGTAACACATTTCTTTTTCTTTCGTTCTGTCCGATGTGTCTATGAGAAAAATGGTACCAATCGATTCCATTTCTCCTTCAATCATTGTTGCTGAAAAGAATCCAGTCATATCGGAAAATAAAAGGACTTGGCGATACTCCTTCATAATTAGAGATACATAATAAATAATGTAGATTTCAACACACAGAATCGAAATGGCTAGACAACCTGTGCTTAAAACCAAGCTTTCTCCTTGTACGATCAAGTGAAGTCAAAATTCTCTTTAAATTTTTATTTTTTCACTATTAAAACTTAAAATTTAGATATATCGTCTCATATGAAATCAAAGCTTGACTTCGAATACGTCAGGGAAAGAGCCTCAACAGTCACATTGGACGAGTATATTAAAACTTTGCTTGATAGTTAAAAGTGTTTCTAGAAATGATTTTGAATAGTCTTACTGACAAAACATTTAAAGGTGACACGTCTCCGACTGCTTTGACGCTACATCAAAGTTCTTCATTTGATTGGCTCAGCAAAAAATTTGTTCTCAAAATACGGCTTTAACGAGCTGGCCGCGATGTACCATTACTGAGTTGTACCCATTTTTTTTCATCTGAAATTTCATCTAAAATGACAAACTGTGTAGTGCTGTTGCAACTCAAGAGTAACAGAAGAACTACAATAAAAGTCTAGCTATAGACTCACTGCATTTCTGCAGATTTCATTGTGTACGAAGGAATCTAGAACTAGAGGAAATAATTTAATCCATTTTCAATCGTTTTTGTATAAAAGCCAAGGGGGAAAAAGCATACTTCTGTACTTCTGGTACTTCTCCGTACGGAGAAGTACCAGAAGTACAGAAGTATGCTTTTTCCCCCTTACGGAGAAGTACCAGAAGTACAGAAGTATGCTTTTTCCCCCTTGATAAAAACACTAATAACTTAGGAAAAACAAATGATGTCTAGGACGGACATTTTGTCAGGGCTGAACACGACGATTTTTTTCTGGAATTAGCTACACTCTTAGTTAGTCGGAAAATGTAGGGACAGATTACTAAGTTTTGAAGTTTTAAGCGACCTGGTTTCTCAAAGAAAACACCATATAGATTCTCATATACCTATTGTTTTATGTCTTACTAACGCCAAGTATGCGCTACGCTTTGAGACCACTCGAAGAAGATGTTTTCAAATTACTGAATAATACGATCTTTATGTTTGTTAACCTGAACTCATAGTTTAGAGTATAAAGGATAGATCCGCATAAAGTTAACAATCGGCTCACTCACTTTTCGGCTAATAATGGTTCCACATAGAGGAAAAAACTACCAATATTCAATTCCAGACAAAATCGAATATATTTATTCACTAAAATTTCTGTACAATTCAGTCTCCAATGGACACCCTCAAAACGAGGCCTACATGAGGAGTAAACGCTGGATCCCACCGATTTTGAATAGCCCGAAGATTTTCTATTAGATGAG